CGACAACGACGACAACGACGACAACGACGACAACGACGACAACGACAACGACAACGACAACGACAACGACAACGACAACGACAACGCCAACAACAACAACAACAACAACAACAACAACACCAACACCAACAACAACAACAACAACAACAACAACAACAACAACAACAACAACAACAACAACAACAACAACAACAACAACAACAACAACAACAACAACAACAACAAAACGGGTGCGCCTCTGGTCCGAAGAAGGACCAGGGGGTCGAACGCCCAAGTGAAAAAAAATCCAAGCCGCGAAAGGGTGACATGGAAACTGGGTAGGACTTGGACCCTCCTGCAAGAAGTGGCCTAGCTTTTTGCCGGTAATGGAACATGGACAAGGACAAAAGGCACAAACATATTCAAGGTAAACTAAACTCCGGCAATGAAATAAGGGGTCCGTTTTAGGCTTAGGTGCCGCCCCAGGTGCGGCCTTGTCAAGGTACCAATAAGGGCCCCCAATTCGGACAGCTCTCCGATTCAACCAGATGTGTGACAGCATGTGTCCTTCTCGGCTTCCCTTTCAGCCTCTCGTCCTTCAAGGCAAACCAAAGGAGGTTGTTCAAACAAGAATTTCGCCTTTTGTTCTTCCCAGCCCTGGAGGTCACGTGTTGTGTTTTTTTTGTTCCTGAAGCCAAGCATCGGTGGTTTTCACTGTAAAATGAATATTCTGGGACATCCTGGGAATAGAGATTCAAAGCTTGCCTATCCCCGCCCCTAGGTCAAGGGAGCAAAGGGGACGGAGCACTGATCGGGGGGGGGTGTCCCTGGGTTACCCGCCCGATTGGGGTCCATCATGAGCCACTCGATGGAAAATGCCCGATGGGCCCCCCCAATCAGCTTGAACAACATGTCGCGGCAGGTTGAACGAAACGATCAGGCGTGTTCTCCGCCAATGTCCATGGCGAAACGGCCTGTCGCTTTAGTTGGGGTTGGTCAGAATGATCATTGTCATCAACTTGTTCCTTTGAAGGGAGCTATGAGTCACAGATTTGGCGCCGAAGCTGTGGTTGATTTTGGGGGTGTGAACCGTTTAAGAGGGGTTTTATCCAGAGTTGACATCAATTCACCTCAAACAGCCCCACAAATAGGTCCCGGATGCCCACAGCTCGAAACATCAGTCACCGCTTTGCACTGCCTTAAGCTTCTGCTCGCATCTGCGAGCAAAAGGCGAAAAGAAGCACCCCCTCACAAATCCCGGCAAAAGACCTTCGTGGGTTTGAGAAAGCGCGAAGGCTCAGCAGCCAAACGCAGCCGGCAGTGCCAGTTGATGGTCCGGCGCATCTTTGCCCGGAACCTCAGAGAGTCCCCTGCAAATATGGAGGCCGGCCAAAAGGGGCCCCAAACGGAGGATGAGGGCTGGAATCCATGCTAACCTGCCGGCGCCAAGGCAAGGTAACTATTTCCACCTTTGAATTGGCCCAGGTGGCTGCCGGCTGACAGGATGTCCTTGTGGGCAATGCTTGGCTTCTTGCAGATGACCCCATTTGCAAGTTTGCTGATGCCCGGCTGCCCGGTCTGGCGCAGGCATTGGAGCAAACGTCTGGACTCATTTCAAAAGATAGCTTCATGCTGAAAGAAATGCTGTCATGGTGTCAAGTCAAATCAAGGGTTATAACATGCGGCATGCCCACACCAAGAGTCCCCATACTAAGGCTACCAATCTGTATGGCGGGTTTGTCCGAATTAGGGCCCTGTTGGGTATCCCCCCCCCAAAAAAAAGACAAGGCGGCACAGGGAGCTCGAGGCTCACCCGAGTTCGGCCAGAAGGCTCATCCGTCTCCTCCTCCTCTTTCTCATCCTTGCCTAGAGACGGAGTCGAAGCTTCGACTGGAAACCTGGAAGGTTTGGGTGCTCTTTTGGCGGGTGCTCGATTCTTTTTTTGGGGGTTCCAAGGGAAACCAACAGAATAACCCCTGTTGCTACACATTTCCCTTTGGCGTCCCTTGAAACAACCTGAAATGGGTACCTTCAAAACAAGCCTGCTTGACTAGCAGGGTTGAGGATGAACCTGAAGTTGACATTGGTGGAATTCATCGCGACACGCCATGGATGCTAGCAACGTGAGAGCCTAATAGGCAAAACCCGCTCAGACTTTCTTAGTCATGTTTGGGAAGCGGTACTGGTTTTCCTTGTCAAGCACCCTTAATTGAGGATTTGAACCTCGTCTCACTCATTTCCTGTGGACGGTAAGTCGTGAAGGTGCCCTGTCCAAACCACCAATTAAGGGTTGGCTGATGTGCACAATGGCCCATGGCAAAGAAACGCAACCGCGGCTTTGCCAACTTCTGCCAAGGTGCCCTTTCCAGCACCTGCCACCACGTTTTGGTGCAAATGGCATGGGCGAAGAATGCTTCCCCCAAGCTTCCCCCCCCCCGGTCTGGCAGAAGGCCGAACAAACCACAAAACTGGGCATAACTGTGCTGAAAGAGTCTCTTACCCACCGTTGAACTTTTGCAAGATCCAAAACCCGAATTGAAGTTCCAGCTCGTTCCCCTTTGTCATGGGGGGAAGCCATCTACTTTCACCCAACTGGACCTTTCCGAGTTCGGGTTTTGGAAGCCCCTCGCGTTGTGTCCACGCAAATCAGCACGCGCCTTTGCCCTTGCCTTGGCCCTTCTCGACAGGCTCCTGGCCTCGGCGGTTTATGTTCAAGATAAGGCGTCCCCCCAGTTGTAGTCAGGGGTCCCTCTAGAAGGAAGGAAGCCCCACCAAAATGGGAACCCCTTATCAGCAAGTGCAAGGTTTTTGATCAGGGGTCAACATGCATCCGCTTGAATCCGTAGTGGCTGGGTGGGGACCGCAATTTAGCATGACAATTCGGAATTGGTCTTGAACCCAGCAAGACAAAAGAGCCGCGCAGGAGAATGGACACCCCTTGATGGCAGGCTAGTTTGGCCCACTCTTTTTAAAGCGGGCCTAGAATGGAATGGCTCCAAGAATCCGAATGGCGGCATTCTGTGCAGGGATGCCGCGTGCCAAACGTTTGTCAATACCTTAACTGTCGTCCGTTATCAAACAGAGTCAGGGGAACCATGCCGACGCCCCACTGTCATTCAGCCATACGTGCCAAAAGTCGTGCATATTTTGGATATTGGCGTGCTCTCGCCAAATTCAGTTTCTCATATATAGGTTAGTTAACCCCCCTCCGTATCCCCCCAAATGTGATTTTGAGTGGCTTCGGGTCCAAAAATGAAGAGACACTTTCATTTTGAATCTTGGGCTCAGTAGGGCTTAGTAGGGCTTAGTAGGGCCTTAGTAAGGCTTCGTAAGGCTTCGTAAGGCTTAGTAAGGCTTAGTAAGGCTTAATCATGTTGTTTTTCTTTTTGCCTCGAGTGCTAGCAAGGCTCAGCAACTCTCAGTAAGACATGGCCACCACTCAAAATTGATCATGAGTACTACTGAGTCTTGCTGAGTAGTTGGAACCGTAAAAGTTCCTATGTGTGCTGTCATTTTCTTGGCGGTCATTTGTGCTGCAACTGCGCCGCGCGCTGAACACCTGTGAATTGAACATCAGCGGATGTAGACCTAGTAACACTCAAAAGCACTCAGTAGCAATCAGCAAGCGCTCACTAGCGTTCAGAAAGCACTCAGTAGCAGTCAAAAGGCACTCAGCAGCACTCAGCAGCACTCAGCAGCACTCAGCAGCACTCACCAGCACTTAGTAATACTCAGTAACACTCAGGAACACTCAGCAACACTCAGTAACACTCAGCAACACTTAGTAACACTCAGTAACACTCAGCAACACTCAGTAACACTCAGTAACACTCAGTAACACTCAGTAACACTCAGTAACACTCAGTAACACTCAGCAACACTCAGTAACACTCAGTAGCACTCAATCACAACCTAAAACAGCACCTTTTTGGCATCCCGGCTCGGTGAGCACACTCAGTAGCACTCAGTAACACTCAGTAGCGCTCAGTAGCACCCAGGACCTCTCAATCACCCCCCCAGAACGCAGCACATGGGCGATCCAGGCTCAGCAAGTATTTAGTAGCACGCAATGACGCTTCGAGCCCCAGGCAAGCTTCCCTTTTCCAAGCTTTGCTATGCAAAAGTGAAGGCCCCCCCCCGCACATGCCAAATCCTTGCTGGGCTCAGTAGTGCTCAGCAACACTCGGTTCTTACTGAGATGTTGACATTTGGGAGGGGGGGGATACGAGGGGGGGTTGGTTAACTAACCTATGAATTTCATGTTCTTTTGCCATTATGCTTTGGCAAAAGAAGAAAACAAAAGGGGTCACAAAAGAAAGCACCTGGATCGCCAGTTGCTCCTTTTTCCATGAACTTTGCCCCAAAAACCAGCAATGGTGACTGAAAAATGCAGCAACTTGGCTATCTAGGCAGGAAAACATGTCCAAACAAAGGGCTCTCTTGGAAGGCACCCGGGCCCCCTCTTTCCCCCCGCTCGCTCGGCTTCCGGGCTGCGCCACTCCAAGGTCTCCTTGGGCTTTGCCTCGGCTTTGCCTCGGATCCGCTGGCGACCCCTCCCTCCCCGCCATAGACAGAGACTAGGTCCTCCAGTAGAGAGGCTAGAATAAGGGTACCAACTTTTTTCTGTTGTCTACTTTAGTACGGGAACCCTCCCCCAAGAAAAGGGTAAAAGGGCACTACTGGCGGACCTAGTAGATCTACTTGCAGCTCGCATTTCGAAGGGGGAGAGGTTGGGGCCTCCAGCAGTTGCTTGCGGGATGTGTTCGCTTTTTGGGCCGGTCCCGTAGAGTTTCCTCACGCTTTTCTTTGACGTTGGGACCCCAACTCCAAATCCCATTTCTGCGTGGGTTCGGGACCCACTACTCCCAAATAAGTCTCCCTGTAGCCCTTTGGTGAAGTGAACATTCAAGGAGCCCGTTTTCCAAACTTACCTCGAGGGTGTCCCTTGAACCACCAACAAGCAGGTAATATAAGGCGTGCATAATTACAATCCTTGCTCTCTCGATGAGAGAAATGGTCAGTTGTTCCTGGGAGGTAGCCCTTTTTTGGAGTGTGCTTAGAGGAAAAGCGATGGTACCACTCTATCTATTTAGCCGTTGTAGGATTCAAGAATCGGGGCAAATTTGGGGAGTGGGGGGCAAGGGGGGGTTATACTATATGACCCTTTCGCCAGACGTCAATCAAAAGCAACTGTTGCATTCCAATCAAAACCTTTCAGTCACAAGAGCTAGTCAAGCCACAATCGCAGTGGCAACTGGCGGCCTGGGGCGTTGGTTAATGGGAAGCTGAGACAAAATTAAAGGGGTCGATAGAATCACGAGGCAGCTTTCGGCGATTTGTTGAACAGCCAAAAAGTTTAATAGGGGAACCACTTCAAAGTGGCTGGGCATGCATGTCCGCCTAAATTGATGATCCTTGATTCATGTGCATTGCTACATGTCTTCGCCTGCATCGCCTATTGATTCGGCAACGCAAGCATGCAGCGGGTTGATATCGGTTCACATCATTACATAGGAGGCCCCAAATGCATCAGCTATTCTTTGTATACCCTCTGTGCCGAGCAATGTCAAACTCAGATTGGTTTGTTCATCGTACTCATTAGGGGAGAGTTTCTGTTTTCGTTCCGAAACTAGCATTTTTTTAGGAGATGCTTCTAAGTAGAGCCCTCCGGATGAAACGAAGTCCTTCGGCCAAGCTGCCATCACCTTTGTTGTTGCTGTTGTTTCCCTTCTCCTTGTCGTATTTGTCGTCACCCTTGCCGTCGCCCTAGGAAAGCGGTCGCTCGGCGTTGCTCTCAAGACCCTCACGTGCAAGTGCTGTGCGAAAGCCAAAGCTTCTGGGCCTTTACGCCGAAAAAAGCCCAAGAAAGACGAGCCCGGACGAATCAACTCGGATTCAAACGGAACTTGCCCCAAATCAGTTATTCGTGGCCCCCGAAATGGGAAATGAGGGAACCCCCCCAAACATGTTAGATCTTAGTTTGCATGGGAGATTCTTGGAAGCTTGACTCAAGTTCAAGGATGAAAGATCCTACCATGTCCTTACAGGACTCCGATCGGTAGGACTCCGAACGGCTGCCTGCCTCTTTAAAGGCAAACAGTTCTGGGGCGCCCGCAGCTCCGGCCGTCCAACCAGCTAGTCTCCATTTGGCTTCCTGTAAACCTTAACTCCCCAACATCTTGGCCCATGGGAAACGGAAGATCAACCCCAAAATGTAAACAGGTGTCTTCCATTTGCTTGAGCCCCAAGAAAAATACAGGTATGCCCGGTAGTGGTAGATATGCCTTCAGAAAGAAAACAAAGGTAACCTGAAAGAAGGATTGAGGAGACCCACCTGCAGGAACCCCAAGGAAAGCCACAAGAGACCTGCGGGCTTCCTCGGGAAAGAAACGAAACTTGCAGGAAACCCATGGAAACCCAAGGGAACCCAAGGGAACCCAAAAAACCAAAAACAACTCAAAAAACCAAAAAGAAAACCAAAAAACCAAAAAAACCCAAGGGAACCCAAGGGAAGCCAAGCGAAGGAACAAAAGGCCAACGACTCGATTCGCCGGGCGACTCGCCCCGCCTTGCCCTTGTCATTGAGCTGGCGCCGCTTCCGCGCCTCCGCAATGATCCACCCCGTGGGGTCCGGCAGGGTCTCCTGACCGAAACGGGGCCATCGACCGGTTCTACGCGGGTGTGGCTCCTTTTTTTTCGAGGGTACCCAGTTTTCCGGTTTTTTAGGGGGGCGTGTTTTTTTGAGGGTGCCGTTGTTGTTGCGGGTTTTAAGGAAACCCAAAAGGAAAGCCACCTTTTTAGGGGGTCATCCAAGAAAAGACTCCCCACGCCGCAAAGGCCTGCATAGGCCTTACTACCGGCCTTCTAACACCCAGGCACGGCCTCTTGTGGACAAAGGGTTGGGAACAACGCCACATAGGCGCGGGCGTGACGCGCTCGAGTCCTTCGCGGTGTCCAAGTCGTAGAGGATCTTCATGGCTTGATTCGGCTTGATCTCAGAAAGGACGCCCGCCACCTGCGGTTTCTCTGGGACTTATGGGCAGGGACCAAACAACCCGGAGACTTTTGGTCCACCAACATGGCTATAAAAGTCTAAGGAGGTTTTCTATGACCAAAGGGGTGTTGTGCTGTTCGATGTCGAGTCCGCACCACTAAAAGCCATACATGCGCGCTCCCCATCCCCCGCGCACGCTTTGCAAGTACAGAGCCCACCAGCAGCATTGAGAAATCCATCAAAGAAGCATCCTACAGTCGCGAATTGCAGGGCCAAGGCCCACAAGCCATGTGCCTCCGACTGAAACATTCCGAAGAGCTTTGAAGAGCTCTCCAGAGCGAGCAACGCCACAGTGTAAAAGTAGATGGTGTTTGATTTGTGTGGGTAAAAGGGGGTGACTAGACCAAACTTGGGGGGCATTGCGCCATCTGTCACCCAACTCTATGTGCGTATGTGTGAAGCGGTGCATCTGAGGTGGGCATCTGGTGAAACATGGGCAAGTGGATATCCGTCGCACCCAGGACCTGTGCAAGCAAACCATTCTAACATGTGCGAGTGGTTTGGTGGATAGAAAAATGCATGATCATCATTGTACACACTTACAATATGTATATATATGTACCAGTCCCTGGGCCACGTACCCCCCCCCCCTCCCAATGGTATGGTCCCCCCACTCCCCCGCATCATCCGCATCTTGGGGATGATGCTGGCAATGCTGGGGATGCTGTCCAGTACCGTGTGAGCCCTGCAGCTTCGGTCCCAGACTCCCCCTTTCACCCCGTGAACCAACACCCCCGCACCTCTCGCAACACCCTACCCTAAACCAAACCACCCTGCAACCCCTCCTTAACCCCAACCCTGAGCCTGAATCAACCCAAACCCCAAACCCACCCGAAACCCACCGCAAACCAACCCTGAACCAACCCTGAACCAACCCTAAACCAACCCTAAACCAACCCACCAAGCCTAAACCAACTCCGAACCACACCCCAACCACCCAACCACCCAACCACCCAACCACCCAACCACCCAACCACCCAACCACCCAACCACCCCACCACCCCACCACCCCACCACCCCACCACCCACCCCCACACGGGGGGGGAGGGGGGGGGTCCACGGCCTGGAACATATACCAAGAGGCACCACCATGATCTACATATTTTGCAGTCACATTCCAGACAGTTCAAACATTTCCTGCCATGTATATATATATATATATATGTGTGTGTGTGTGTGTATGTACATATGTGCACATTCATAGTGTGTGTGTACTATGATGTGCCCGTGACGCATGCGTGGCCCATGAAGCATTCTAAAACCATGGAGTTCCCATCCCGTTTCCCCGTAGGCTTTTGAGTGGTACGACCAAACCTTCGGTTGGGTTTGGTTTCCTGCCGGTTCGGCTCGGTTTCCGAAAATTGGCGCGGTTTTCTTTGGCTTGGTTTGGTAAAAAATGGCACATGGCTTGCTTTGGGCCTGTTTTGCGCTTCACCACAACAAGGGAAGCCCCTGAATTCTCAATTTTTACAAGTCCAAAACCGGATTTTGCTTTAAACAAAAAGGATAAAAGACCGACCCCCAAATTGGTGGAATTGCTGGAAACCCAATAAACTGGACCATGCCTGGTACCCTGTTGTTCTGGTGGTTTTTAGCAAACCCAGAGCCAACTTGCAGGGGTACAGTATCCTATTTGGGTGTGTCGTAAAATCGGGGTACCCGAAAAATGCTTGGAGCTCCTTTAAAAGCCACAAGCCACAAAGGGACCCACGCATACCCATCAGCCAGGCCTGATTGAGGCGGATCTGGTCGCTCAGGTTCCCGTGCTTGTTGTACCAATTCACCGTCCTTCAAGTTGGGGTTCTGGGTGTGGGTTTGCTTTGAGTTGGTGGCCGCTTTGGGGTTGCGAAGAAAGAACAGCCAAAGGGACACCAAAGCAAAACCACCTATCTTGTTGTTCCACTGGCAAGCTCAAAGAGGCGAGGCAAATGGGTTCTCAGAATAGGATATGGAACAAACAAGCCCAAAAAGGGGGTATGCATCTCCTATCACATTCGGACACGACAGTGCTGTCCATCTGCGCACTCGGGTGTCTCAACATGATGGACCCCTCCAGGTGTGGTGCGGTTGGTGTCCTTCCGGTTCTCCTTTCAACCCTGCCCCCCCCACCCCAAAAAAAGTCTTCCCCGAAATCTCCGCACCATTCGCGCCATGCCCTATTTCCTCCCGCGAGATTCGAAGGTCCCAGCTTGTTGCCAGGAGCCAAGGCAGCCTTCGACTGCAGGCTGGGAAACCCACAGGCTCCGACGTCCAGCTTGGGATTTTTCGGAGAACGGACCCCAACGTCAAAGTGGCTTTTCGAAGAACACCTGACGACATCCTCCAAGCATAGACTGCCTCAGGTTTCAACAGCGAACCACAGACAAATTTGGAAGACGTTGATCCCAAGTGGACGCTATCCAGCCGATTCGGCTTCCGCTGTTCAGCGCCGCCCGTGAAACTACTCGAAGGTCGGCAACCTGGCACGCTTCAGCGGGCTTGCTACGGGGAAACCACTGCAAAGGACCAAAGGAGGCCAAATCCTTTTTGTAACCCGAGGCATGAAAGATGGCCCAACAGCCAATCTGGAGACAACCTGAGGCTCCGAAGGCTGCCTAAGGCTCTTGAAATCTTACGGGTTCTTAGAATCAGGGGGGGGGGGCAGGGGTTTCTCCCGGCTGCTGTTTTCATCTTCGCAAATCCCCCCAAACATACGCCCAGCTTTTTTGCTGGATTTGTCAGGGGAGGGTCCCAGATTTGGGGATCGTGATCCTTACCAAGCCAACCCGCTTTCCGACCTTTGTTGGACCCTTCTTTTTGAGGAAACAGGGGGCGAATGAGTGAGTGAGTGAGTGAGTGAGTGAGTGAGTGAGTGAGTGAGTGAGTGAGTGAGTGAGTGAGTGAGTGAGTGAGTGAGTGAGTGAGTGAGTGAGTGAGTGAGTGAGTGAGTGAGTGAGTGAGTGAGTGAGTGAGTGAGTGAGTGAGTGAGTGAGTGAGTGAGTGAGTGAGTGAGTGAGTGAGTGAGTGAGTGAGTGAGTGAGTGAGTGTGAGTGAGTGAGTGAGTGAGTGAGTGAGTGAGTGAGTGAGTGAGTGAGTGAGTGAGTGAGTGAGTGAGTGAGAGTGAGTGAGTGAGTGAGTGAGTGAGTGAGTGAGTGAGTGAGTGAGTGAGTGAGTGAGTGAGTGAGTGAGTGAGTGAGAGTGAGTGAGTGAGTGAGTGAGTGGGGTGGGAGTGAGTGGGTGAGTGAGTGAGTGAGTGAGTGAGTGAGTGAGTGAGTGAGTGAGTGAGTGAGTGAGTAAGTGAGTGAGTGACTGAGTGAGTGAGTGAGTGAGTGAGTGAGTGAGTGAGGGAGGGTGTGAGGGCGTGAGGGCGTGAGGGCGTGAGGGCGTGAGTGAGGGAGTGAGGGAGTGAGGGAGTGAGGGAGTGAGGGAGTGAGGGAGTGAGGGAGTGAGGGAGTGAGGGAGTGAGGGAGCTACTGAGTGAGGGGGTGAGCGAGGGGGTAAGGGAGTGAGTGGGTGAGTGAGTGAGTGAGTGAGTGAGGGAGTGAGGGAGTGAGGGAGTGGGCAGGCGGGCGGGTGGGCCGGCCGCCGGCCGGCGGCGGGCGGGGGCGGGTGGGCGGGCGGGCGGGCGGGCGTGCAGGCGGACGGACAAACGGGCGCGGGGGCGGGCGGGCGGGCGGGCGTAGGATGGCTGCTCCAATACTCCAGCCTGGTGTGGGCTGCGAAGGGGGCATCTTGGAAGCAGTTGCTCATCTCCTTCTTGCCCTTGAGAACCTCCGTCGCCACCTGGCTGTCATGTTTTCAAGGGCACGCATCATTTTTCCATTTGGATGCAGAACCTGGTGAAAGGCATGGCTTTCTTTCGGTTTTGCCAACCCCCTACTGAGCTCGGAAGAGCCAGAAAAAAAAGTTCCGAAAGGGGACAAGTGCCATAAACAACTGACTACCAGCTATATGTCAAAGCAAAACGCTTGACAGAAGTTAATTCCCCTCACATCTTCACCGACGTCTTGCCTGCTGAGTTGACTCGCCAGAAAAGCTGATAGTTCCTGGCCCTTGGCTCAAACGTAAAAATCAGCAAGCAAAAAGCTTGAAGCTTGCGCATTCGCCAGTTCAGGATTCAAGTCCAAACCTTTATCAACCCTACGTGAGCAACAGCCAAAATGATTTGTGCCCCTAAAAGAACCATTGAACTCCTGTTTATTTTTCAAATTCGCTGAGTCCCCAGGGTCCTCCCCAAATTGACGCATACTGCCAGCAATTCTGATTGACCGTGCGTCACACAAATATGGGGGAACCCCCCCCCCCAACCCAAAGTGTGGTTCGCTCTGGTTTCCAAACAAGGGCACGGTCAAAATGACGCATGTCCGGGAAAGCACATGGCAAATTGAAGTGAGTCCCCTGAGTGTTGTGGTGTTGTGGATGTTTGCGCGAATCCCCCCATGTGCCACCCCCCCCCCCCCAAATGGATCCTCGACAAATCGGATCGGGAAATCTTGACCGAACGCGCCTGGTGCATCAGCCTGAGCCGCTGCTTTCGTGCCAGGTGCTGCGACCACCGCTGGCCCTGCGGTGACAAAAAGAGGAGCAAGTTGCCTCACACTCATTGAAATCGGTACAGTTGGGTGAACGAAGATGGCACCATTCCCCCCGCCCAATTTGGTTGAGTCATCGCCTTTGCTTAGCCATATCAGCACTTTGTCCCTAGCGTACCCTCCCAACCGCCAACATGCAGCCTGACATGGTCCCTTCACAGGGAAATGGTTCAAACCATGCGCTGTTCAGGTAAAATTCGTCCCAGTCCGAGACATGGTTGTTTCTCAGCTTGAGGGCTTTGATGGGCGCCGTGTTCATGCGGATTCCACTCTTTGCACGATCCAATCGTCTTGCATTGCGCTGCCGGGGATGAAACCTCGCGCAGGCAGGTCCAAAAGCCAGAATGCTGGACCAAAACTGGCCTTCAGTGAGGAACTTCTGTCCTTGAATTGTTGGGTGTCCCAAAATTGTCTGCGGGACGGGCTGTACACTTTGCTTCTCACTTCCTGAGCCGATTGACCAAAAAAAAAACTCCAACTTCTTGGTTGCCACCGAAACGGCCCTCCGGGACTCTGCGAGTGAGAGAGTCGTCAGTTTCCTTCGCCTATGGAAGTAACGACTTGGAAGACTCACAGGAAGGAGTCCGCATGGCTCCGGTGCAACATTCGCTCTTGGCGTCCTCGCGGCACAGCTGGCACTGCTCCCCGCCACAGCCACGGCACTTGGAGTCCATACAGCTGGTGACAGCTTCCTCCTTGGAATCTTTGCCTCAGAATTGTTGGTCGCTGATTTTGAGGGGAAACACCCTCCAATTGGCCCTCCAATGGTCACAACTGTTGTTTATTGATTTCAACTGGAAACACTCGACAAAATGTTGGTAGATAATTATAGGGGGAACAAGATTTTAGACGAAAGCACAAACGAGCTTGAGCGTTGATTTTAATGGCAAACACCCTCTAAAAATGTTTGCTCATTGATTTTAAAGAGAAATGCCCTCAAACATGTTTCTAATTGATCCGAAAGAGGTTCCCCCCTCCACCTTCCCTCCTGCCCTCCCCAAAAGAAAAGAACAGAAAAAGAAACAAGGCTGACAAAGGAAGCAACCTTCTCTCTCTAGCTCTCTCGCTCTCTCTCCCGCTCCGTCTCTCTGGGTTGCATATCTGTGGGGGGTCCACGGAGTGGTAGTGGTCATCACAGCAGCCGGCGATTCGCTGCGCATCTGCGCGGCACAATTGGCACTGCTCCCCGCCGCAGCCCTTGCAGCTTTGCTCAACACAGCTCTTCGCATCCTCCTTGCAGTGTGTGACACATAACCCACCTGAACATTGCCCATCCAACATGGATGTTGGCTGTTGAAGTCTGGTGAACATCTACAATTCCTTCGGTAGAAGGCCATACAATAGTAGTCCGGTTGGCCCCCTTCGGGGGGAAAAAAAAAAATGGGATCCCAAGCAAGGAAGTTGCAAGTGCATCAATCGCGTCCAACAAGGGAGAGAACGGTACATCCTGGTACGTTACAGGGTTTCCCTTGGTCCAATTTCTACTTTGCACCTAAAACCCTACAAAACCCGGCAACAACCCTCCCACACCACTCCCCCAAGGCCTCCCCCAGAAACCTTCCTCACCTGCCCAAAGTTAAAAACAAAAAACAGTTCACCTTTTGGAACCTGGACTAAGTACGGACCAAATTTGGGAAACCCAAAGGGGGCTACATCAGCTGCCACGGCAGGCAATCTGTTCAGCCCCTCCTCCCAAGCGCACTGCAGACCCTCGGCTCCGTAGAGGCCGTCGCATTTGTTTGTCGGGGGCGGCGCCTGCAGGCGTTGACAAGGCGACTCGGACCTCCGGAATGTCGGGGACGAGTTAGTGGATAAATCTCAACTAATTGACAACTCTGAATGTTGGATTGACCCCAGATGAATTCTGGTATTAGCGGGCTGTCCCCTCTGGAAGTGGTCTGCATCCCCACCAAAAGGAACACCCCCTATTCATCAACCAGGGGGTTCGGAAGCGCCTTGGACTCACAGGAAGGAGTCCGCATGGCTCCGGTGCAACATTCGCTCTTGGCGTCCTCGCGGCACAGCTGGCACTGCTCCCCGCCACAGCCACGGCACTTGGAGTCCATACAGCTGGTGACAGCTTCCTCCTTGGAATCTTTGCCTCAGAATTGTTGGTCGCTGATTTTGAAGGGAAACACCCTCCGAAATGTTGGCTGCTGAGTTTGGAAAGAAATACCCTCCGACACGTTGGCTGTTGACTTCATAGTGAAAACACCTTCTAACGTGGTTGCTGTTGAGTTTAACAGGGAAACACCCTCCAATTGGCCCTCCAATGGTCAAGATGTTGGTAGTTGATTTTAGGGGGAACACCCTCCACAAACGAGCTTTAGCGTTGATTTTAATGGCAAACGGCAAACATCCTCCAAACATTGCTTGCTCATTCATTTTAAGGAGAAATGCCCTCAAACATGTTTCTAATTGATCTGAATCAAGTTCCCCCCTGCACCTCCCCTCCTGCCCTCCCCAAAAGAAAAGAACAGAAAAAGAAACAAGGCTGACAAAGGAAGCAACCTTCTCTCTCTAGCTCTCTCGCTCTCTCTCCCGCTCCGTCTCTCTGGGTTGCATATCTGTGGGGGGTCCACGGAGTGGTAGTGGTCATCACAGCAGCCGGCGATGCGCTGCGCATCTGCGCGGCACAATTGGCACTGCTCCCCGCCGCAGCCCTTGCAGCTTTGCTCAACACAGCTCTTCGCATCCTCCTTGCAGTGTGTGACACATAACCCACCTGAACATTGCCCATCCAACATGGATGTTGGCTGTTGAAGTCTGGTGAACATCTACAATTCCTTCGGTAGAAGGCCATACAATAGTAGTCCGGTTGGCCCCCTTCGAAAAAACGGGATCCCAAGCAAGGAAGTTGCAAGTGCATCAATCACGTCCAACAAGGGAGAGAACGGTACATCTGGTACGTTACAGGGTTTCCCTTGGTCCAATATATACTTTGCACCTAAAACCCTACAAAACCCGGCAACAACGCTCCCACACCACTCCCCCAAGGCCTCCCAGAAACCTTCCTCACCTGCCCAAAGTTAAAAACAAAAAACAGTTCACCTTTTGGAACCTGGACTAAGGACGGACCAAATTTGGGAAACCCAAAGGGGGCTACATCAGCTGCCACGGCAGGCAATCTGTTCAGCCCCTCCTCCCAAGCGCACTGCAGACCCTCGGCGCCGTAGAGGCCGTCGCATTTGTTTGTCGGGGGCGGCGCCTGCAGGCGTTGACAAGGCGACTCGGACCTCCGGAATGTCGGGGACGAGTTAGTGGATAAATCTCAACTAATTGACAACTCTGAATGTTGGATTGACCCCAGATGAATTCTGGTATTAGCGGGCTGTCCCCTCCAAAAGTGGTCTGCATCCCCACCAAAAGGGACACCCCCTATTCATCAACCAGGGGGTTCAATCCGGGTCAACTTTATCGGGTGGCTTTCCTGGTCAAATCGCCAAATTGGGGAATGGCTTGAGGGGTCCATTTTGAGACAGCAAGGTAGACGGAGAAACGGGGTGAGTTCCCGAAAACGGGAAGCCCTGGGTGTTTAAGTGCTCATTTCGGGGGAGGGGCCAAATAGCACATGCAGTTTCGACGACGCTTGTCTAAACTGGCTTGGTGGGTTCCATCTTAATTTGCAGGGGAGATTCCTGGAAGCTTGACTCAAGATCAACTGAAGCCATTTCCCTTGCTGAAAGGGGAACGGCTCCCTTCCAACCACCAGCCAAACAACGGCCCAGACATTCGCAAACCAAACCACGGTTGTTTCAACCATCATCCCTCATCTTCCCCTTTGAATGGGGAATGCAAGATCCTTCAAGAAAGGATGCCTTGCACATGTCGATCTCCGCGGTCACCTGGGCCAAGACTTGCTCGGCGCAGCAGGACTCGATGGTCTTGGCATCCTGGCATAGGGAACTGAACCTCAGAAAGGGGTGTAAGATAGGTATAACCCTGGCTGGTGCGTTTCTGGGCAAAAAAAAAACAATAACGTGTGTTTTGCTTGTCCCTAACTTATTGGTCAACGTTCAACCCTAAGCCCGGTCCCAAACGTTGACCCACAAATATATGAACAAAGCCGAATCATCCCCTTTGTATCCTGGTCTTGGCATCTTAGATTTAAAGATTTAAAGCCATAGTTTATTGTTTTTGTTGCACCAGGATAAAAGTGACTTAAGCCACAGAATCATACATAATCATACAGAATCAACGCCTTTGCTAACAAAATTCGTACCAAAGGAGGCCTTGCTTGGCGCAGAAAGTGACATGCCTCCTAAAGCTCACTTTTCAGGGTTGCCGTCTGTGATACCAACGACTTCTTCACTGTTCAACGAAATCATCGAAACTGTTCCTAAAACCAGTTTTCCACAAGCATGTCCTCGCGGCACAATTGGCATTGCTCACCGCCACATCCACGGCACATGGTGTCCATGCACCTTGGCGGCTCACCGGTCCCTGGCTCCAAATATTGCTTTCTTTGGGACTGTCTGCGTATGGCTGGGAATTGCCGAGGCACGATGACACGCAGGAGGAGATGATTTTCTGGTCTTCTCGACAAAGCTGGCATTGCTCTCCTCCACAGCCACGGCACTTGCTTTCAATGCAGTCGTTCACGGTTTCTGCCGCAGCCAGCGCCAGCAAGGCGAGCACAACACGAGCCATGGCCGAAGGCGATTTGGCGATTTGGGGACTGAAGCCAAAATTTCGCTGAAGAAAAACTCCTTTACATGGAGACTTGTGCAAGCGCCAAGTTTGTTGGAGGGCATTCCAAAGCATGAAATGTCATAGCCGCATGACTTTTCAGGAATGCAGTTGAAGCCAAACCCATCACGGGAATGACCTACCCATCTTTACCAAAGAGTTGCTGCTGATGCTTGAGGAATTGACAGCGGTTCTATCACTGGGGCCTTCCAAGGACCTTACAGGAAATGGTTTCAATTGGATGAGTGAGTTGGATGATTGCCCAAAAAGGCCTGGATTTCTGCCTCGAAATGCTGAAAAAAACAATGATGCGTCACTTGGGGCCACACCCGAAAACGTGCAAACTCAAGCACTCTGAGATGATGTCCTCTACAAGACTACTACCCCTAGCGGTATAATAAAACATACAACCATCCCGCAGCCACTGAGGGTGAATACCCCGTTTTCGCCTGGGTCCAGGTAGCGGCTTGAAAATCCACCCCACCCCCCCCAACTTTGTTTCGTCTGGCTGACTCTAATGGGGAGTAACCGAAAGCAGGCAACCCTAAGGCTCAGGGTGCCTTGGGATGCGAATAACATGGTAAGCAACAACGATAATGTTAGATATGCTCAAACAAACTTGGCAAATATGGTTAAATAACAATAATGACAACAATCATCACAAACAAATAAGCAGATAGAGAAAAGAATGCTAACAATGGGGGCAGTCCAAGAATGGAGCCCTGACTATTCCAGGTGGACCCCTGCTTGGACTCGGGCAAAGGAAGCCCAGGGTCGGGGCGAAAGGCGCTTTCGCCCCGTCGATGGTCGAACTAAGTCCTTGCACCAGTTGGTACGTGGTTTGCCCCAGTCGGTTTGGGCTTCATCCGTCCCAACTGGTGCGAAGTGGATTTGGTCCAGCCACGGTAGACAACCAAGGAGCACTTTGCAAGGTGCAATTCATGCTTGCCTTTCCATTAATCAAGAATTCGTTGTATGATTTATATCATTACGAACTATTATTGCTGCAGCTTGCGTCGTTTTTATGTCTAAGCATTGCTATATTTCATCTTTCTATTCCTTGTGCCGTGTTGTTATTGATTGTTATGTCTCAATTATGAATGTTGTGTTTTTGTAAGTTATTTATTCCAGTATGTTCGATATTTGATTCGAGGTTGTAAGGAAGGACTAGGCATAAAAGGATAAGGAGCAGACACGATGCTTAACTTCGAAGGAGGAAACGGTTTTGGGCGAAGCGCTTCTCCCACATCGATCCAGTCCGCCTTGTCGCGGTCCGTCCTCTCGGATTCGCACTCCGCCTGCAAAATGCTTAGCTCCAGCGCCAACGGAAGTGCCACTGGGAGCCGGCAAGCCACGGACCCTAGCTGGGCCTTTTAAAACGGCGCGTTGGGCGATCCTAATCCACTTGTTGTTTCCCTAGTGGAAAACCTCTACAAGGGGGCCCAAGCCTTTGGACAGCCCAGCTAAGGGAGACAGTCGACACGCTCAGAAAAGCAGCCCTTTGCATGACTTGCCACGGATTCCTTAAGGAACGGCCACATGTACCCGTGGCATTGGCCTAGGGAACCCAAGTGAAACCGCCATGTTTGGGGGAGTTCGGTTCCCATTTCAGGAACAATATGCAACCGTCCGACCCTGCCTCGTTTGGCAAGGAAAGTATCTCGTTGAGACGCCACGCGGTGACCTGCCCCACCCGTAGAGCAAACGTTGGTGGAGCCCTTCGCTCCATGCGTTGCAACCAGTGAGCCCCACAGCAAGAAAACAATGGACCGTTTTAGGCTCCAAGAAACAAAACAAAGATTTGAAGGGTAGAACCACTGACTGACTTACATCATTGATTATATATATATATGTATATGTGGCCCTAGCATGTCTTGAGCAGGGTTCTTGGGTGTCGGCGGCGTGCATCTGGCAGGACTCGCCTGGGAGAAGCCCCTTACTTGCCAAAGTGTAAGACAAAAACAATAGGAACACCGAAGGCGTAAAGGTCGAATCGCTTTGGGCAAGTGCTTTGGAACAAAAGCCGAACCTGGCCATGAACCCCCGCTCCGAACAACTTGATTTGCAGACTTCTTCTATCTTTGTCTACAAAATGGAGAGCCCCACAGAATTGGACCCCCCTCTGGCAAAAACTCATAAACACAAAACTTTACACACATGGCAGTTTGAAAAAGAACCTGCCCGGGATGTCGCGCCCCGGCCTTATCTGACGCTTCCAACTCCTTGAGATACTTCAGCATCAAGGGCCCCTTGAACTTGCCGTAGAGCGTCGCCACATTTTCCTGAACTCCGACAAAAACCCGTCATCAAGGTAGGAAGTGGGCGGCGAAAACTGCCAATTGGCTTTCTCGAAATGGTGGACCCCTTCGTCGTTGGTAGTTGCCGGGCAGCTTTTGGGGACAACTAACTACTGTTATTTAGAGGACCCTTTGTCTCAGGGAACGAGACTACAACGAACGCTCGCTATCAGCATAATTGCTCAACGGCCTTCAGGCGGGGAACTCGCGTTCGGGAGGGAACTCGGCTTCGGGGAACTCGTATTCGCAATTCTTCGATGGAACGCGGCTTCGAGAATTCGACTCCGCAATTTGTGTTCGGCGGGAATTCAGCTTCGGCTTCGGGGAATGCAACTCGTCTTCGGAGGGGAGTTCGTCTGCATGAATTCGTCTTCAGCCGGTAGAGAGCCTTGGGCAAATGTGTCTTCGGAATTCTTCGTCTGCAGGTGGAAAAGTAGCACTCCCTCAGCGGCCGCAATGCAAAGAAGGGTGATCATCAGGGGCGGAGAGGAGAAAATGCGAACCCCCAAAATATGCTGCTCACACTGGGAAAGATGTCCGAAAACGTCTACAGCAAACACAGCGAGGTTCAATACGCATTGGCAGCCAAAAAGTTGCTATTCAGGCTTAGTCCAAGAAGGGTGGTATAAGAACGCGCAGCCAAATTTGCGAGTACATGTTGACCATGCATAGCACCGGAATAACCGGAGTTAGCCTGCTTTTAACCTGGGTTACATATCTTTCAAACAACCCTGAAAGGGTGCCCTCAAAGAACACACACCGATAGCCGCAAGTCAAAATTTGCGGTCACCCTAAGGCACATGGGAAAGAGAGTGGCCCCTGGTTTGGGCAGAACGACACCTCGTCAAACTGATCACGGACTGGACGTGGTGTCCAACATGTCCCAAGCAAACCAACAATAGACTAGCAATAGCATTGTGTGTGACAAAGAAAACTCTGTCTGCCATGGTTGACTCCCTGAAAAGGGATACCTTGCAAAAATAATCCAAATTCCCTATCAAGTTGTCCGTCGAAAGGGGTTGCTTTGACCATTGCACATGTAATCCAATGCTCGCCCCTTGCTATGGCTTTGGGTGTTTCCCAAATCGTGGCCCCAAAAATGCTTGGCTTTTCATCGCATTTCTCAAAACTTGGATGCCGGGCGATTCGTTCCATTTCTTTAAACGAGATCCGATCATCCAGACCCTTTGAGACCCACTCACTTCCTGAGTGGATGGCTCAAAAACAATCAAACTTCTTATTTACCACTAAAATGATCTACCCAAAAAGTATAAATCAGGATGTGAGCCCACATGTTTCCGGGCCCCAGAGCCGAAACAGCCCAGGCGCCGGCAGCTCTTTCTGCGCTTGCCGCGGCCGCGGAAGCCGCACCCGCGGGATCTCCCGCACGGCCTCTAGAAGGCGGGGGCGCAGGAACTTTTCCACATGGGCCTGTGCTGTGACCCGCAAAATGGATTTCGGCTTCTCTGGTGGGTTTCCTTTTCAATCCAACCCCCAAAAAAAAGAGAAGAGAGTAGCTACTCTCAAAAGGGGCACCCACACGCCGTCTTGCATCCAACGCCAATTTGGCTGGGGATGGGACTTTGACAAGAGTCGGGAGGCAATGGGAAACAAAGGCACATCCCCAACCCGGGATGTAACAACAGGTGGCGGACATTTATGTGAGGGCTTATTCACCGCCCGTTGTCCATCTACTTTTGCTACCTGGAATTCTTCAGACAAGACGCAACTTCCTGAGTACTCGGTTGCAAAAAAAATGCTCAAACTATTTGTCCCCAGCCCTAGATCGGAGCAACCCGATACCCTGTGGAAGTTCGGGGAAAGGGAAATCAAGTGAAACCAAACACCATGGCTTGCTCTGCCCTCGTTTGGTCACTTTCATTTTGATACATGGCGCTATGCAAGTGCGTGCCTTTGAGGGCAGCGTTGCCACAAGGGGAAACCGAAGGCAGGCCACTCAAGTTCGAATTTGGAGATAACAATCGGTTGTAGAAACAACCGAGAAAAGGGGTACGATACCATCCCCTCGTAAACATTGGTGATGGTTGATCAGCCAACTCGATCATTCCCAACTGGGCTGTTCAAGACGCAGGGATCGTGAATCCTATATAAGCCAGAATCCCTATTGGGGCACCACTAGAAAAAAGGACAAACCTGAAAGCATGCTCCGGGAACAAATGCACGTGGCGCGTTCCGTCAAAATGCGTTAGGCCTAGGAAAATCGAACCAAGGCAATTGGGCCCTCTGGCCAGACTTGGGCCTCCTGCAAGTGACAACTTGTTGCGAGTCCGAGGTGGAACTGAAGGAAAAGTTTGGCCCAAAGTTCATAGGCAAGAACTGAGAAGCTCCCAGAACATGAGCCCCGCACCGGCACGATCGGCTCCTTGGGCGGCGGCTTCTCCTCCTCCTTGGCAAGCGGCGCGACCCTCCAATCCAAATGGCTGTGGGTCAAAACCAATGGTCCCGTTTTGGGGAAGGTGCACCACCCATTTTGGTCTATTTTAGCGGGGGTTGGGATGTTCACTAATTACAGGCTTTTGACCCATGGCCAAATGGATGCTACACAAATCGTCCTTTAGCCCTGCATTTCCAACCCCTCAAGTTGGTGGTTGACTCTTTTGCCTTTTTGGGATCCACCAAAGCCAGGGTGAAAAAGCGTGGCGC